GGTGTGGGGCGTGGCGGCAGTTTGTGGGTCGTGGCGATTGCGCAGTCGCGGGTGCGGGACGCCGACATCGGGAAGTGGAGCGCGTACACTGCTCTGTCTCCCTCGCCACTCTGCTGCAAGATCCTTGCCTGGAGCCCGTCCCTGCTCACCAAAAAGCATACATATGGGCAGGCAGCCAACTATACAAAAGATCTCCCATTTGGTGGTGCCCTCCAGGCCACTGACGAATGCCTCTTTGCGGCGGCGCAGGTCTGCGCGGTGGGTGCTGGTGGGCGCTCCCAGCGATGCGCTGTCCATCCCTACCACGCCGCGTCCCTCGCACGCAAATAGTTGTCGCACTGCTGTAGAACAGTACAGATAAGCGCTGAACTGCACTTCGGTGAGATCGCGGCTACCCGTTTCCAAACACCACTAGATCCACCATATTTGAGAATTTGATCCTTGCCACTTGCTTCTGTGCCGGTAGCTTGCGACTTCTGGCGAGTCAGGCGTTTTCAGTTGCTTGCTCAGCAACCAACCCTCTGCGATGTGGATGGCTGAAGGCGATGGGACACAGGAATTGAATCTCGTGCGGTACCGTATGAGAACATTCGTCATGTATGATTTGTCTACTCGAAGCGAGAACGTAGCGAACGATCTTGATCAGCGTGGCACCTGGCTGCTGAGGACGCGACACATGAACCTGTTGCGTATGCTCGTTTGATTCTACACACACTCATTGTAGTCGCAGGTGCTGCACGACATAATTAATCTCGCACAGGCCCAGCGTGTGCCAGGCCTGCAGCGCGCTGGCACACCCTCGCGCTGGCGGTCCCATCAATGCCCGCCCCAGCCGGACGGCGGGACAAGTCAGTGCTGGTCACAGTGGGCACCACCAAGTTTGAGGAGCTGATCAGGCGCGCCTTTTTCATAGCAAGTGGCTGAGAGCACTGCAGGTGCACCGCGTGGGTCCTGCCAGCAGCGCGCATCGCCGACACATCACCCGCCCTCTTGACACGTATGCTGTGCGCAGGGCGGTGGACTGCCAGGCATTTGCTGACGCCCTCGTCTCCAAGGGCTACGGGCGCCTGGTCATCCAGAAAGGCGCAGGCAGCTACAACCCCTGCGTGCTTGTGCCGCCCGGCAGCACATCCGCAGCGCATGGCACCCTCGCTATCGAGTGAGCAACAAGAGGCAGGCGCCGCGCGGTGCCAACACCGCATGCAAGGGCGTGCCATCGCGTTCGCAACAGTGGTGAAGCTGTTGTCCCCTGAGGCTCCAACGCTCCTAGGCCGCTGGTCGGCACAGCGCACCGCCGCACCGCCACCAGTTGTCGAGCACCCCGCAATTGATCATGCCCACCCAACGGCCTGCTTCTCCCACACCCCTGCTGCTGCCCCTTAAAACCCCGACAGGTACTTTGACTTTACGCCATCGCTGACTCAGCACGTGTCTGACGCTGCGCTGGTGATCAGTCACGCCGGCTCCGGGAGCATATTCGAGTCGCTCACGGCCGGCAAGGCGCTCATCGTGGTGCCCAACCCGCTGCTCATGGACAACCATCAGGCGGAGCTGGGGCGCCACCTGGCAGGCATGGGCGTGCTGGTGAGCGCGGCAGCGCGGCGCGCGCCATGCGACGCTCGTGCGCTTGGAGGTCGGGCGAGGGGGTTTGCTGATGGAGCGGTCCATCACACCATGGCTGAGTATGTGCTTGTCAAGCGGGGGTGCAGGACTGGCCCTCTTTGTACACCGCCCCTCATAATCCTCCCTCGCTTTGATTATTGTCCAACCACACGCCAACACAGGCATGCGCAGCGCCGGGTGACCTGGTTAATGCGGTGCTGCAGCTCGAACCCGCTGAGCTGAAGCCCTATGCCAGGGGCGACGCGTCCGGCATCGCGGCCGCAATCGATGCGCTGACGGGGCGTGCCGGGCTGCGTAAGACAGCCAAGGCTGGCCAGGGGCGATAGCGCATCTTGCCTTGCTACGAGGCGCACCTTCAGCGTACTAAGAGGTCACAGTGTGGCAGTGTTCGTCGATCTTTATTTGTTTAGGGCATGCGGCCCGCTTTGATGTTCACAACAGCCAACGGCTGGCCAGCGGTGGTGCCAGGGGATGTTCCTCTTCCATCCGCCCGGCCTGAGGCATAGCTGGCACTGTTTGCTCATTTGCAGTCGCAAATTTTGTACCATCCCAGGCATAACTGCCGAGCGGATTATAACAAGTCCACACGTTTGCTGGTCAACCCTGCCCTTGTGATCTGGTCGCAGCCATGGCGCCCCTGTCAAGCTGCCTGTATGTGAGTAATCTTCCGTACGAAGCCACGCAGTCACATGTGGAGCAGGTATTCTCGAACGAGAAGATTGCCACGGTGAGCTCGAAGTGGATCATCAACCCGAAAGTGAAATGATCGCAGCGACGCAACTAAGACCATCAAGCTTTGAACGACATGTGTTGTGTGTGTGTGTGTGTTGCCGGTCTGCATGGATGCTGTTGCCACAGGAGACACAGCGCGCCCTTGCCGCCGCTGCCACACGAATCGACACAGCACATGCACTTCACGTGAAATGTGGAGGTGCAGATGCGACAACTCGTGTGCCACGAAAATCCCGTGCAGCACACTACCTGGACTGCGCTGCGGTCCCCTCCAAATCGTTTTCGAACTCGTATGTTACAGGTCAGGGTGGAGCTGCTTCTGAAAGGCGCCCCCACCCGGCGGCGGCACAGCGGCATGGCGGTCGTGCACCTGGCGACGGCAGCGGACGCGACACGCGGCTGCCAGGCCCTTGATGGCAAGCCCGTGCTGGGCCGACCCATGATTGTACGCAAGGACCGGTGGGCACAGGCAGACCGGGGTGACTCGTCAGGGGGGGGGTGTGCTAGCACGTTTGCGGGTGGCTCGACCATTAACCTTCGAGTTACAGTACCCGCCTGCTGCACTTGCCACAGGTTTGAGGGCGATGATGCAACCTATGACCCGGCCGCGGCAGCAGCAGCAGCAGCAGCAGCAGCAGCAGCAGCAGCAGCCGCAGCAGCAGAAGCAGCAGAAGCAGCAGAAGCAGCATCAGCAGCAGTGTGAATTGCGGTAGCAGCCCCCAAGCAGCAGCAGCAGCAGCAGCAGCAGCAGCAGCAGCAGCAGCAGCAGCAGCAGCAGCAGCAGCAGCAGCAGCAGCAGCAGCAGCAGCAGCAGCAGCAGCAGCAGCACCCTGGTGGCAGCGGCAGCGAGCCAAGAGTGTCGATGAACAAGCAGCAAGCACCATAGAAAGATACCAGTATTCATCATTGCAAACGTCGCACAAAGAGCAGAAATCCCGGGCGGGCTGCTGGACACGCCGCACCCCTCACGGCCCCACACGTGGCCGCGTTGCTGCTGCTGTGAAAGACTCAGGAGCTGTTTGCCATGTTTTGGCTTGTTTAACAGTCAAACTCATGCTAAGGCATTCTTCACAGAATTATGCAGGGCGCATCTGTTGAACCACCGTGCTGAGGGCGCACCCAGCAGCCGCTAGCAGGCACCAACTGGCACTATGCTGGGCAACGTGACAAGCCCGCGAGGCGAAGCAGAAAGCCTTAGTGCAGGTGCTACATCCTTGAGCAGACCATACCCCCCCGCATCTACTTTGACAGCTTAATCACCCAGTTTGTAATTGCCATCTCGGGTGCTTGGCTTGCCAGCTGCAACGGGTGTCGTGGTTGGGCCGGCACACCTCCACGCCTGATGCTTTTCAGGCCCCGCTCAAACGTACAAGACGAGTCAGCGTGGCGCCAGCGAGTCAAATCATGTTGCGAAACAATCAAGGTTACCGCCCTGCCTGTTGTAGTGTGCACCAGGCTGCTTCACCCCTCAGCAGTTGTGGACTGGCGGCCGCACTGCAGGCCTACCGTGCGCCCGCCCGCGAACTGATGGTACGCGGCCAGGCAGTCCATCAACATTCAGTGTCGACACACATCTGCATGAAGATTGGATGCGGCCTGCAGGTTGCGTTGGGCACAGTACATCTACAGTAGGCCTGCAGGTCACTCAAGATGCACGACAATGAGATCAAATGCTGCAGTCACTGCAGTGTTCCTGCCAACGCAACTGGAATGTTGTGGGCCCGTATTGCACGCATACGTATCTGTATTTGAATTGCACATGCTATGTGCATTGCAAGCGCTTCAGGCTCCGACCCAGTCCTTGCTCACTGCATCAGCTGTTGGACAAGCGAGCGCCTGAGAGCACGCCATTGGCGCAATGTTTTGGTGATTATTGGCGACGGTTTAGCTGAACGTAGCACAGGGCGCGAGAAACGATGCAGCCTCGGCCCACCTCTGCGAGTGCGGAGGCACGGCCGGAGAGGGCCTCCAGGTGGGCAGGGAACAAAATGCGTGCTGTGAGAGCGTCCCTCCACGCCCTGGACGTCCCCCAATGAGCGCTCGGGGTGGTGCACCAGACGGCGCCCCGTGCTCGCTGTGCAGCAAGGGACTCAAAGGGGCTGCAGCCGGCGATATGTGCATGTATCCTATCATCACAGCGGTGTTGCACAACCGGTTGACGTATTGCGCTGGTGTAGGACTCGCTTTATGCAGTCGACTCGTGGCAACATTTAGCACTTCATGGGCCCCATTCGCCCTGCATGTGTTGCATAAGCAGCTTTGAAACGCGATTCTTGCGTGCCACCCCGGTTCCCGCAGGCTCAGGGGAGTTCCGATATGTCGGCCGGCGCATCACGCGTGTCGCTTCCGCCCGTGCGCTGCCGGCGTCGATGGCGCTGCCGGGAGCCACGTGGCGCCTATACAGCAAGTCCCAATCCCCCGTCTGTTGGGAGATCCGAAGACGAGCGGCGGCGCGCACAGCCGCCACGTGCCGCGTGCGGCGGCCGTCAGCGGCCTCCCGACCACGAGCAGCAGCAGTGGCGGAAGCGGCGGCATCAGCAGCAGCCGCAGCAGCTCCCCGGATTTCGGCGCGATGTTTTTGGAGCGCATCAGCAGCAACGGGGCGACTAGCAGCAGCACCAGCGGCAGCGGGGGCGGCGCCGATGCAGGCGGGGGCCCCGCCGGACACGCGCGCTCGACGCGCCACGAGCGCCACCTCACGCGCCGCCAAGACGTGCGCTCCGGCCGGCGCGGCGGCGGCGGCCTGGGGGGGTTCCCGGGGCAGCCCGGCCTGCACTCGGACGAGGAGGAGGAGTTTGAGGCGGGCCTCGCGGCCGGCGCGTGGGATGGCACGGCGGCCGGCCTGCCGCGCCGCGGCGCCGGCGGCGGCAGGCAGCGCCACGCGCCGACGCCGGCGCCGCCCTCGTCCCAGGACGCGTTCCTGGACGCCTTCATAAACCGCCTGCTGTCGCCGCAGCACGAGTGGCTGCACCGCCCGCCGGGCGCGGCGGGCCTCGCGCCCCCGCCGCCAGAGACGCGGGAGGGCGACGACGCGCTGACCCCGGCGGCGCTCGAGGCGGTCCCGTCGATGGACGTGGGCGCGGGCGCGCTGCTGTTCGCGGACTTGGCACGCGCCGGGAAGCTGCGCGCCGCGCTGCAGCTGCTGGAGGCCGCGCTCAGCGCGGGGCGGGACGACCTGGTGTCACGCCTCAGCCACCGCGCGTTCCTGCGCGCCGCCGGCGGCCTGCGCGGCGCGCAGCTCGCGGTGCTGCGGTTCCTGCAGCTGCTGCCGCCCGGCGCCGCGGACGCGCGCACGTACAACCTCGCGCTGCATGCGTGCGCGGCGCGCGGGGACGTGGACGCCGCGGCCAGCGTCGCGGCGATGATGGGCGCCCGCGGCGTGCCGCTCGACGTCATCCACCGCACCACGCTCGTCGGCGCCGCGACGCGCGCGCTCAACATGGGCGCGGCGTTCAAGTA